ATATTTTTTTTTCAGAAAAAATACAGTTGCATTCTTAGATAAATTTTAAAAAATAAAAACAATTTTTTAAAATTACTTATTAAAAACTACATAGGTTTAGCTTTTAAAATTTGTCTTAGATTTTGCAAATGTGTTTTTTTGTTTAAGTAGTAAAACAAAAAATATATATATACACAAACACATACATAAGTGACAATAGTGACAACTAAGTTTAATTTTTAAAAATTAAAATAGATATCAAAATTTAGATTATTTAATTGGTTGGAAGTTTACATGAAAATGATAGTTAGAAGCCAAGTAATACGTTAAAATCGATGGAAGAACGCTATGTTTAAAAGTCTAATTCACATGAACTCAAAAATAAAATTAATTAATTAATTAAAAATTTTGAAAAAGGTCTATTTTATTAGTATGACTTTGCTGGCGGTCAGCTTTTCCCTTTTTCTTCTCTCTTATTCTTAATTATTTATTAATTTCTTCCACTTTTTCTGCCAAAATCAAACGGATCAACTTTCAATTTGTAATTATAAAACGCATTAATTAAATGTACTTGTTGATTGGCCAGAGGTTTTGAAATTTGAACCAATTCAACAAAGTTTAAGAATTGCACATTTTTAATAGATAATCTGAAACATTTAAATCCGTAACATTGGTATCTTTCTCTAACTAAAAAGTAAGTTGGTAGAAGAATTGGATTTGATGATTCGAGTTTTTAAAATTATTTTAAAGATAAAACATGTCAAGATGTAAATTGATTGGTTTTTTTTTTTAAATACAGCAACGTGGAAGTGAGAATTCGAACTCACCATTTTTTACCGGATATAGCATTAAATTTTTCAACTTTACAATATTTGGTGAAATTTAAAAATAAAATTAAAAAGAAATGCCAAGTAATACAAACTAAAATAACACTGTGACAACTAAATCATATTAATTAAATTTAATGATTTTGATTTGACTCTAATTAAATTTTTCAAAATCACGATATAATTCAATTTAAAATGATTCAAAACAATTTAACTTACTAAATACCAAAGAGACATTTGATTTTCCCCCTCTAAGATTGAATTAAATAAGAATCCATTGGAGGAAAGATATTCTTCAACCTCTACGAGAGGAATCCTTATGACGTTGATGCTTGTCATTTCAATTATCATACATTTGAAATATCTAATTCAAATTTCAATATGACATCAACAAACAATTAATACATATTTGGACTATTGGTAAACTCTGACATATATAAAACTTAAAATCATAAAAGATGGACGAATGGAGACCGAATCCTAGGGTGACTATCTATCTGAGATCTAATATTTCTTGACAACTAAATATAATAGGGTTAGACGATTGTTTCGTGAAATTAGTCGATGTGCGTGAGTTGGTTTGAATACCAACAGATATGAAAAAAAGATCATTGAAAAGGGAACATATGGTTTAGCCTAAAACGAAGTATATGAAAATGAAGATAGGCAAATGAGTTGCTGTGGAGTGAGTTGAACATGACATAAATTTATTGTGAAGATTCAGTTTTGCTTTGAATAATTTGATGAGTTTGCAAATCAATTTTTGTTCATTTCTTTAATTTTTGTTCATTTATTTTTTTTTCTCTCAGCAGAGAAAGAATACACTATGAAGGGAACAAGAACAGGACACTAGCCCAGAGAATGGTTGCACATAAACAGAAATGGTAAGAATATTTATCTGCTTCCATCTTGTGTCGAGGAAATTTACAAATTTGGTCTTTTGTTAAGTTCTTTTTACTCTCAATTTTTGTTTATTTTAATCCTTATAATTTCAAAACATCTATTTTGATCTTGTACTTTTAAAAAGTGACCTAATCCATTCGATCTCAATTTTATTTCACTTATTTCAATTCTTCGCTCACTAATTTCTTAAAATGTGGTCATAATTTGTACTAAGAGGTTTTCATCGACCAAAACGGATATTTTGAAAGTACCATGACCAAAAGTACAAAGCCCAAAATAACATGAAAAGAAACTTTCTTTTCCTTTTATGGAAAAATCCTCAAGTAATGGCAGACAAAATAAGGCAATTAGTATTGGAGAAGAGAGAAACAAGCCAACTGAACTTATGTTTTGTTGCCGTGAAAGTTGAAACTAAACTAGGCCACTTTTGCAAACTTTGTCAACTCAGGGCTCTTTTGCAATTGGCTATGGCCAAAATATACATATATAAAAGCTACTTTTGTATATAAGGCCAAAATAGGCGCCAAAAATGGAATACCCAGAAATGAAGCAAGACCAGAAAAGAAATTAGAAACACTATTTTACACCCAAAGTAAACTCAGTCACAATTTGACGAAGCACGAATTGGATTTTCCCTATAGCTTAAGAAAAGGGCAAAAGGGGTTGAAAAAAAAAAGGGAGGAATTAAAATATGCAGCTTTTTAGATCTCAGTCAACTAACCTCATTTGAAGGGGCTAATTGATTTTTTGGTTTTGAATAAATTTTACAGAAGAAAAAAAAAATGGGCAGAGGGGACAGAGTCAGGACATCTTCTTGATTGCTTATCTTTAAAAATGAGCAGTGAAAGTGACATGTAGAGAAATCATTGAAGGAAGCAAATTGGGGAAGAGCTACAAAGATGAGTGAGGGGCACCATGACTTGTTAGCAACAACTTTGGAGTTTTGTCCTGCCCTTTTGGCTTTCCTTTCCCATGCATTTATGATTTTACGAATAGGGCCTAATTCTAGCTTCCATCTCTAAGATTCATATGCACGTGTCCACTGCCCATGGGCTGGCCATCTCATTTGCAATGAGAAAGTTTTGGATGATGCCATTCCATATTTTAAAAACCAACTTGTTTTTAAGCCTATTTAAGTAACCATTTGGCAATGGATTTTCTATTATTTAAGTAACATGAATTGATTTTTTCAAAGCTACTTTTAGTACTTTAAAATGGATACG